TCCTGACTGTTTGCAACTCGTCAACGCGTAAACTGTCGTTTGGACGGTGCCATGTTTTATGCCGTGAGCGTCTGTTGCTCGTCAAACGTAAATTGACCGGACTAGCTAGTTGGGACTCAAGTCATTGCCATTGTAGTGACATGTATATAATTAATTGTTTGTACTTACATCTCCAGCAGGCGTTCCATACAAACAAGTATGTTAATAAGTTTCGGTTGCCATAGGCACCAGAGTTGTGACATGAATGTGACCTCTTACTTATCGTTTTCATTCTGCTTTGTTCAAGTTTTATTCCAACGTTGAAAGTTTCCTCAAAAATGTTATTCAGTCATTGTGTGTTTAAGCCTACTGACGTTCCAGAAGTTTGTTAATCATTGGATATAGCAGGTGCATGACGCACTTGTGAGTTTTGAGAGCATTAAAACTTGTGAACAACCAACATTTTGTGTGCCGTTTTTCACGATATTCAAGAACAGACACGAGGCTTCATAAACAGTGGTAGTAGAACTCATTTCGGGAGAAAACACACATCGCTACACCATCGAGTCATTACAAGTTTGCCTAAAGGATGATAACACCACACAAGTCATGCTTAATTCCTCGCGAAAAAATCCTTGGATGATAATAACAACGTTAAAAATACAAATTATTTTGAACAATGTGACACTAGATGGCACATAAGTCAAGAAAATGAAACCGTGGCGATTAGTTTTTCAATTCGCAGGCGATTCATAATAAATGCAGTGCGCCACCAAGAGTTTGCCATAGAGAGTCCATTTTTTTTTTTAAGTTTACGGTCGACACAACATTGCCCATTCGAATGAGTGTCGGAAGATAACTTGAGCTAATTTGTTACAGATTGGAGCATATCGTTCTGCCGGCTTACAAAAAACACCATATTGATGAAAAGAACAGAAAAGGGGAAACAGATACTCGAATCGTACGCTTACGAAACTACTGACCGAAAAAAACGAACAATTTCAAATGTCCCGCGCTGCGAATTTGTCGACTCTCTCCCACAATGCACTGAGAAAAATGAACTCTCCTTGGCAAACTCTTGGTGGCGCACTGCATTGTGAATCGCCCGAATTAGAATGTAAGTAATTCATTGGTCCTTATTAGCTTTTATCGTTCAAATGCCTGACAGACATTTACTGCGTGTACATGTATTGTGAGTTTTGAGAGCATTAAAACTTGTGAACAACCAACATTTACTGCGTGTACATATATTGTTAATGTATGAGTTTCAGAAACCGGATTTACAATATCTTGGGATGAAATACACCAAACTAACCTCGCCCCCATGACGTTCGAACAGTGCGCTACCATGCCCTCCCGCTATGCTAGCCAACAGTTTGTAAACCAGAAAAGAAAAAAAAAGCAATCTTGGGTCTATGATATGCCAACAGTGCATATTCGGCGATCATGCAAAACAAGACTGCGTCTTGACCTCGATATTCTGACCATTGAGCGGGCGCCTTCTAAATCAGGTTTTCAGTAAGCCGTTGTTGTATAAAAAAAACATGGCTTCCAAATTAACCAATCAACAGCTTATGTAGTCCATATATCTGATCGAAATGCCGTCAAAGTTTCTAAAGTGGAATCCGATGGGCTGGCGCGCAGGGTCGCATCATAATATGCACGTTAGATATATCATATACGCTCTACCGAGTCCTGCACACGTGCGTGTCTAATCCTCTTGCTTCGGCTAAATCTTTAGCCAGTAATGTTCAACTTTAAGTTATGGAAATTATTCTAAACACAACGTGGAATATAACCGTATTAGTCCCCCCATACGGGGGTAAAAAATCTCCTGCATCCAATAGCCGATATTTCCAGAAAAAAAACGTATTATGTGCCAAGTGGTCTGATGTCTTTGAGCGGTGATTTCTGTTTGGTGTCTATCCATATGATCTTGGAATAAAGGATTTCCCTTTGACGAGATGATTTTAGGTGCACAGTGTCATTCATCCAACGCAGGGGCGGATCTAGCTTTCAGGAAACGGGGGTGGGGTGGGGGTAGGGGTTGATATGATGGGAGGTGGGGGGGGGGTGAGTGAGGTTGTGTCGAAAGTACGACCTCCTATCGGAGGGGTTGGGGTGGGGGTTTCCAGGAATTCCCCTGGAAATGTGTCCTGCATTGAAAGGCAATTTGTGAATTAAGTAATTAACTTTATTGTTTGCCTCCTTTTACTAGTATCACAGTCGGCAGCTGAACGAGGTGGGGGCGTTGCGATCCCCAAACCCCCTACATCCGCGGCACTGCAACCCCCAGAATTGCACAAAAAGAAAAGGTAATCAGCATAGTAGAATAGGGGAAGTGTAAACGACCCTGCAGTCACTACATAGTAAAGATGTGGACGGTCAATGGCTGGATTTGAACCAGCTCACATCTGTCTCCAAGCAAAGTGGTTCTTCCTAATGACAAAGTTGGTCCGTAGCATCAATTCACTTTCAACAGCTATTGAACACTACACCCGCAGCTATTGACCACTACATTCCCTCTTATACATGTATTAACAGATTTGTTTTTCCTAATGATAAAAACCTAGAAACTGGGTCAATACAAATTCTACAAATCATGCACTGTTTTTATACCCGAGACTCAAGCACACATGCAACTGTAATTCCAGAGGTTTTATTTCCTATTTTAACCGATATATAATCACAACACATTTAGTAAAATTTGAACATGACAGGTGATAAACCTGTAATAAAATCTAAAATTATAGAATTTGCTAAAATTCAATTACTTTTCATTTCAGACACATCCTCGAATCATTTCTTACTAGTAACATTTCTCTGAGCAGCATACACATAACTAACAATAGAATTTGGATTAAAATGTAAACTCAGTTTAACTCCTCATACATGTTGGTACTGTGATGGGTTCGTCAAATTGGCAAACGAATTAAAACAGTTTAGGCCAATAACAAAAGAATGTCAACAAATACCAAAAACCCCGTAATATACACCATTTGCATTCGTCGTAATTTAATGAAACGGGCCTAGTACTTTATAACAGACATTGCTCCACTAATCTGCTCAATGGTTTGTCTCCATTGGTGAAGGAAACTAAAATAAATATCGTTTTCAAAACCGTCTCAGTGCCCGTATGCCGAGTCTGTCGGGCATGCCTGTGCCGGGGTCTACCCGATGTTCCCCAATACCTATGTTCTCGAATACCAAGGGTTCGACCTTAACTATTTTTCTCACTAGCCAGCCGGGCTACTGAAACAGACTCTTTACCAGCCCGCGGGCCTTTTCACTTGCCCACAAGTTTTTCTTTAACAGAGGTCTCATAAACAACAATGTGCATACATGTGAAACGTGTATCCTAAGGCAATCTTGTCAGTGTTTCTAATAAACAAATCTAATTTGATGCAGGTTTGCTTTCTGAATTTAATAATTTATTTCTTCCTGTCCTTTCATCTTTGCCGAAGCCCAATATTATTGACTTGCCAGCCGGGCTACTTAAAATGATAGTTTGACTAGCCCGCCGCTGTTTTGACTAGCATTTGCATAGCGGGCTACCGCTAATGTCGATATTACCCTGTGAATACCGATGTTCCCGAAATCCTTAGGATTAGGGTTTGGGCTAGGGTTAGGGAACATCGGTATTTGGAACAAAGGTATTGGTGAACATAGGCATGCACCCCCTGTGCCGGCTGTATCGTTGACAAATTCAAACATTAGGCCATCGGCTTCGGTCCAAAAAATAGGGCCACCGGTATCGGATGTTCCAAAGAAGCAAAGCTCGTAGAGATTTTTGGCAAAGTATGCACATTTAGAGTTGGAAAATGTGTGATAGCTTTGCAGTGTAAGCGGTGGCAACTTTGAATGTTATTCTTCACAATGGCCGCCAATATGCTTGTTGTTGCAACAAGCATGTTTTTGGCAACCACTTTTTTAAAGAAAAGCTGCCGCCGCTGCAATGTTATCACATTTTTTCCAAATACAGGGGTGAATACCTCGCCCAATATCACAATGAGCATTATTCCCCTCATTTGATATCGACCAAACCACCGAGCTACCCCTACATGTACCTCGCGTACCTGAAATTACACACTAGTCAGCCGGCTCGCGTTCGTTAACGGATTTAGTATATTTGAAAAACCTTATTACAACGGTATACGGTTCGAACCTTCGTTAGTACTGATACAAAAAGTCTTTTTTTCTTGACAATGACAGCATATAGGCGCTACATTTTGAGAATGGCAGCATAAACCAGGCGCAGGCAACAATTTCACACGATGCTTCATACTACAATTAATGTATAGCTGAGGATCCTGTATCGGTGCACAATATGATAGAATTGCTCATTTGATGATAAAAGCACGACAGTTGGTACACAGTAAGAACATGCACTAGAGAAACTTTTTATAGCTATAGGGTCATCACAAATTTGTACAAAAGGGTAGAATAACAAGCACTTTTCAAAATGGCTGCCATTGTTTGTTATCCTACCTATATTTTGTTCAAAGGACAAATCTGCGATGGCCCTACAGTCGATCTTTCTCATGCCATGCTCCGTCTGTGTGCCAAATTCCATGCTCTCATCAAATGAACAGTCCCATCATCAATCCCATCACCAAACTGCTGTACTAATAATCAGCACTAGGTACTCATGTTCCGCTAAGGATTCATGGATTAAGAGCAGTCTTTCTAGAAAGTTATACACTAATTTTACTCGTGTTGTGCAGAATTCTATACAAATTTAGATAATGCATGTACTATGAAACGGTTTTGTGAAATAATCCATACATTTTAAAGTGAGAGTTACTGCATTTTCTTTCATTGCAAAATGAGTACAGATATAGTCTAAGAGTTGAAATTCAACTTAAGACTGAAAGGTGAACCGTGAAACCCTTCTTTTCCTTTCCAATCATTAACCCAAATTACTTTTAACACCAAAGTTTCTGCTATTTAAAAGATTTATTGGAAGAATTAGATTTTCTGTTAGAAAAAAATAAATTATTGCACTCTTTGTAATTTGGCAACTTTAAGTTTGGCCCTGCAGAGTACACTCAATAATGCCAAATACTTCCGGTGCATGCATTTTGAAGCCATCCAATGATCTGTATACAAAAAAAAACCACACGAGCTGTTATTGGCTTTGTTGTTGAAGGGACATCAGTGCATTATGAACTGCATGAAAGTTGAGTCTAATTCTTGGGTTGGTCTTCAAGAGTTTTTACATTCCGAATGTAATTATGGAGTTTCAACATCAGCCACACTTTGACTCATAAAGCCTACATGAGGTGGTTTTGCCTTTTAACAGCCAGGGTCTCATTCATACCAAGTACTTGTTGTTGATCTGTTATAGTATCTGGTTAATCCTTTGAGGCAATTAGCCAAACCACAGGTGGGAAGTCAACCCTCTCTGGACACACATTCATTGCCCCATGTATGTGTACAAGTTCAGCCCCCCAAATCAGGCAATCCGTTATTTGTGCATCGATTTCAATGATCAAGTTCTATTTGTCTTTAAAGAGGGGTTCACAGATGGTTCGTAAAAGGTTTTGTTCTTCAACTTGGGCCCAATTTCATGGTTCTGCTTACCATTAGCGAAAAAAATCCTTGCTTACTGTAGCAGAAAATTATGTGCTTAAGGTAAGAGTGTTTCACGGTTTTTCGAGGAATGTTGGCTTCTGCACATGCGTACATCCCGCAAGGCTTCTGTGCTTACAGGGTAAGCATCGATTTTTTTTCTGCTAGTGCGGTTAGCACAGAATTAGCAGAGCCATGAAGTTGGGCCCTGCTTTGGTCTTCAACCTGGTTGGGTCCTAGCCTCAGGAGGTCAATCTTGGGAGATCTAGGTCAAGGCTAAGGGAGTAAATCCAACAGAAAATCAGGAGTTCTCTCTGTCACTCCAGAATCAAAACATCAGTTTAATGAGGACCTGCAAGAAGCAATATCCACGGTACTTAGCAATGAAGGTATCTGAGATGCAACAGCATCACCTTATTTTAGAACAAGGTTGAAGTTGGGGACTTACAAAACTAAATCACAGCATATTCCTACTCCGCATTGTGGACAGACTCTTTGTGGGTGTCACCTTAGCTTACCACAAGCATCTACCAAGTTTCACAGTGAGTGTGGTGTTACAGACCTGGTAGATCAACAATCTTCTCTCACCTGCAGGACAAGTACTGTCCAGAGCAGCCAGGATTTCACTTCATCTCATACATTGACCCGATGAGGGCCTTCGACCTGGTCAGCACAAGCATGAGCTTCAGGTTGTTGTAACCGAAAAGCTGTCCCCCAAAATTGCTGAACCTGATTGCTTCTTTCATTAATAAAGACATGCACAGCATATATCTGCTCTGGTGCAATATTTAAGTTTTCCTAGGGACTAGTAGGGGTTTAGCAGGGTTGAGTACTTTCACTAACACTTTTCTGGATCTTTTCCCCCATGCTTTTTCATTGTGTCAGCCTGTATTCTAAAGGGACAGAATGTTGTTTTGACGCTGTCCATTTTCTCTCCAAGACCAAAGCCCGGGTCCTCATCTTGGGGTTGTTGTTCGGTGATGATGTAGCATCAATATCCCACCCTCAAGTCCACTGGCAACAGCTGGTAGACTGCCTGTCTAACGCCTACATGGAGTTTTGGACATATGCCTCATGAAGATGAACATTATGGCTCAGGATGCTGATTCTCCCTATCTATCACGATCGGTGACCATGATCTTGAGGTCGTTGACTCCTTCACCTACCATTGGATTGACTACATGCATATTTCTAGTACACTTTCATTTGATGCTGAGGCAACCGGAGGTTTGCAGAGACTGCAGCTGTCATTCCAAGGCTGAACAAGGAAGTTTGGAACAACTAGAGCTCCTGATGGTGAACACCAAGCTGTGCATCTACATGTACCAGGCTGGCATCCTCAGCACACTCATGTACAGCAACAAATCTTGGACAACTTAGACAAGCCAGAAAATAAAGAGGCTGAACAGCTTCCATTGCTGTCGTCTATGGTGCATTCTACACCTCTTAGCAAGATATAAGAGTGTCCAACAGTGAGGTCTCGCAGCATGCAGGCACCTCAGCATTTCTGGACTTCTCAGTCAGGGGCACCTCAATTTGTTAAGCCATGTAAGACCGATGGTTTCTGGTGACATTCTAAAAAAAAACTGTAGGGAGACATTGATAAAACTAAAAGGTTCACAACCAGTTGGAAGGCCCTCTGTGCTTCATGGACACTTGTAAAAGAGATGCGAAGCTGTCCTTCACTGACATCAACAGCTGGTAAAGTTGAGCATCGAGTGTATAGCCTGAAGCTTTGCAGTGACCCCTTCATAAAAACAAGCTATCAGCAGCTGGCCTACTGGGCCAGGTGGAAGGAGAGGGCATCATCAGCTTGAGTAGCTGCCACTATTGACTGGACTGTCATTCAAGAATACAATTAATCTTTTCAGTCACTCAAAGAAGTGCCCTATACACAAAGCTGGCTCCATCATCTGTTTGCATGATGCGAAGGTGCCGACATCCTTTCGAGGGAACTTTTTTTGTCTTGAATTAAAAGTTGCCTTCTCATTACCATTAGCACATTCTACATGACAGGACAAGTTGTACAACCCTTCAGATTTCTCAACAAGTCCTGAAGATTCTGCAGGACTATAGAATGCAGAGCCCAGCCCCTATTATTACGCGCCTTGCATGAGGTTGTTTGTCCCAGGAAAGTTCAAATTAATAAAGATTGTTATACCGTGTGCTTGGATACTGTATTATTCATTGGTCTAGCACGACCACGTGTCTGGACAATAAAAATGCATGTCACACAACTGAGGGTTATATTGCACTGTGTTCACTGCGCCCTCATGTGGAATCTGCCGGCGCGCAAGCTTAATTTGCGCAATGAGAACAGCAAAGTCAAACGGTCAGTCTCACATCCGGCAGGAAACCCAAACACTCAGTTATCAAAGGTTACATCGCACAGATTTAATTAATAAAAGGCGATCTCACAATACGTTACAACCATTATCTTTTTGAGTTACTGGCACGATATAACAAAACAATTATCGACTACTGTGATGTGGAACATGCCCTTTTTTAACCCCTCGCTTCGCCTGGGGTGCTACATTGCTCCCTCGGGTGTTAACAAGTCATATACCACATCACAGCAGTCGACAATTGTTAAATGAACCACTGATGTCCAGCTCAGTGGAGGACTTTGGAGTATTGAGGAAATTTCTCAGCAAAAATGCCTGGCAGTTTGGGTTCAGTAATTCTTACCATGTAAATCAAGATCTGGGACACTGGCATCTCTCCTCCTGTGGTATATCCTTCATGACTTGTTCTGCATGACGGCCACATCCTAAGGACATTAGTTAGAATACAGGTGTACAAAATATTTCATGTGTGAGATGTTGGTTTTTTTTCCAATAGGGGAAAAGATATTATTTATACCATAAACCTACTTTTATTAAAGAGAATTCACATTTAGTACAGATTGTAGCAATAACCCAGAAATATACCAGACAACCCACAAACCAAAAGGCAAAACAAAGAAGGGCACAATGAGTCAGTTTGCCGAAGAACTTTGCCCTCTGTCAAATATACAATGTATATATATAGAGAGAACCAACATGACCATGGGCACTAGACTATATTAACAGAGAGACATGCAATATGAAACAGGAGCAGCAAAACATTCATTATGAACATGAGCTTTACCATTGTATAATTATTATTGTTATTCCTTTTACCTTTCCAGGTGAATTTCTGGCATTTGTCACACTTGACTTTATAGCACATCTTGAGCACAGAAATGGGTACAAGGCAACAGGGGCCTATAGCTGCAGGGAAATATGAAACTGCTGCAGTGCAATATCTTGAACTGTTAAGGGTGTGCAGAGGAAGAAATAATGAATGACATTAGTGATCAAACAAGTCAAATGCAAGGTTGGGCGTCAGTTATAATAATCTAAAGTGTGCAGTATATTACCCATACTGTGAAGTAACTGAAAACTGTAAACTGAAAAAAAAAAAAACATTTGTAGTTTATACTGTATACATGTACATACTTTTTAATAAAGCCCAAGCTACATTACTTTCAACTTCGGTTACTTCGCATCAGCTCATAATCAATTTGCATGATACAAATACAATGTACGTGTATGTGTTTTTTTCCACTTGAAATTTAAACATTTACCTCCTAAAATTTCAGTTTTGTCCACCATGATGTAAACTTCTGAACATGTTCTGATGGTTCTGAACATTATTGGCTCAATCAAAGCATGAACAATGCACCTACACGCAGTGGGTGAACAGGACCCTGGTAATAACGTTTTTGTTTTTTTAATTTCACAGTATTCAGGTATACATGTAGGCCTATTTGAGTTATGAGTTAAATACTAAAGTTTCTCTATAAAACAATGATGTATACATGTACACATTATGTGATACTATTAAAGAAAGTCCACATTCGGATAAATGCTGAATGGTTGAATTTGCAAAGCGCGAAAGTATTGCCCGAGTGTACGCACCAACGTGTACATTGCCCCCTACTGGAAGATGGTGCATAATAATGTTTATTCAGCCTTGGTGGTTGTACATGGAAACAGTATAATTCAGTGCTGCTAGGCGAGCTTGCTGAGCCTCAAGAAGCCGTTCATCGATCAAGTCTTCTTGCTCTGCTCTTGATTTTATCTCAATCTCCCGGCGGAGCTGGGCCAGTGCAAGTTTCTGCTGTCGCAGGTGAACTTTCGTCTGTTTGACCACTGCAATCAAGACACATGGCTGCTGCTTCTGCTCTTGGACGATCCTAATTGGGCACTGCGTTGATCATCATGCAGTGGTATATGGAAACATCCGGTTGGATTTCAGCAGGTGGTTCTGCTCCATGGGATCGCAGAACTCGGCGTGTGATATTTGGATCAGTTTCCATGGAAACCACCCAATAGTTGTCAAGCTGTTGGTTATCATGCTTGGTGAATGCTCAGAATATCACGTCTGGGTCACCAAAATGTTATTGAATGGCAAAGGGGTAAAGGAAATGATCGGTGGAGAGACTGGGCGTGGCCGAAAACAGTGTATTTATTATCAAGTTCTTGTTAGCTTGCAAAGTAAACAGTAGCTGCGAAAAGCCCTGGTATAAGCACAGTGGTAGGCCCTTCTTAAGCACTGTGGAGTGCCGATCATAAGTCCGTAAGCCCTTTCATCCTTATCCGGCCGTGGTAATTTCCCCCCAATCAAATTTACAATGGGTAAAACAAAAATAATAATATTACAGACAGTATAGACATAAAAAAGACATAAGTTAAAAAAATACACATTAAAACAGACTTACACTATAACACATAATCCCATGGGCAAAAAGAAAAACCCTTTAGAATAGCACAAATTCCTGAAAATAATTTTTTTATTTTATATATTGCACCATATTAACAACAAAAAGCAAGGAAAACACCAGACTGGGACCGTGATAAAACGTGCAAAAATACTACTAATGTTTATGCCCACACAACACATACATCAATATGCTTTAGTTGCAAGCATGTAACCTGCGAAATTTGAGACCTTAAATCCAATTTTAAGGCAAGTTTTTGGCAGTTCAAAACCATCCACGTCATTCTCCATGCTCTAGAAACGTGTGTGTGATTCCCAAAGTATTCTATGTAGGTGTAAGAAGTACATTGCAGCTTACTTGTTTTTTAATCGTTGGCCTCTGTTAAAAAATGAAACATTCTGCATTTACTCGGATCAACAAGAGGGCGCCGTTTTATCTACACGATGAAAATGTTAATAGATGAGAAGTCTTTTTGCACAATGCATTGCAGCACACATCACCGTGATGTCTCACGTTTGGATTTCGATAACTCTCTGCAAAATTAGAATTAAAAGCTGAATTTTTGGTGAAGCAATGCTCACAACAGCAACTTTGCGAGGCAGAAATTTCGGGGATTATCACGGTGATTATTGAAGAAACTGTAGTGAGTACGAAGCTTACAAATTTGATTCACACTGGTTTTTTTTATGCAGCACAAACTTTTGCACAATATGGATATCTTAAGTTTTAGGACTCTCATAGTCATACGCAGTATTAAGAGTCCCAAATTTTCGGACTAGGAAAACACCCCCTAGAAAACTTAAGATCTAAAAAAAAGAAAAAAAGAAAAAAGAAAAAAAAAGAGAGACCATGGAAGACAGACCAAAAAACCAAACGACCGACAATCAGATCCCCACCCGACAAACGTAAGATGTGCAACTTGACAAAAAACAGACTCAAAAGTGACAATCCAACAAGAAACAAATGACCCCACAGACAAAAATAGACAACCTCTGAAAGGAAACAGACAAGAAGCAAAAACAAAACAAAACAGACAAGATAAAAACAAAAAAAAAACAAAGGGAAAAACAACAAACCATCAAACGGGCCGACAAACAGTCCGCCCACCCAGCAGACAGACAGATGGAAGACAAACAACCCAACAGACAAACGTACTAATGAAGAAACGACCCAGAGCAACGACGGCACAAGCATACAAATGTTGAGCGCAATTTGAATCCCCCACGGAAGTTTAAACTTGCGCGAGGGACTCCCTAAGCACGCAAATTACACCGCGCCACCTTGATTTGCGTGCGCACGTTACAACTTGCGCAAAGGTGATCGCAATTTGAGAACCTTGCGGGCGGGATTTTCATTTAATGAAGAAAAAAAATGTTCAAAACACGAGTTCATGGAGAAATAAATTAACAAATAATGGAATAAATTAATGAACAAAAAAATAAATAAAAGGGGGATTGAAAAGAAACATTGAGATTTAGCAGAGCTTATCAGAGAAGTTTTCTGAGGGGGCGGGGCGGGGAGGGGACCAGGCAAGCAATCAATAAGCACGCCAATTGCTTGGAAAGTGTACTGAAGTTGTTCAATAATGGAGACCAGCTTCAAATTTTTTTGCCTTGTAAAATTAATTAGCGTTTTATTTATATTTTAATTTAAATGAATCATAATTTCTTAGGGGTAACCCGTTGTTAACGTAAGAAAAATGATTATGATCACTTCAATTGTTCAAGTTTTGACGTTATAGTAATCATTTACATAATTTTTTAAATAATGCTTTAATTTACATGTATTGTGACAGTTAAAAAAGTACTTATTCAAAAAAAAAATACTAATTTGATTAATTTAGCAATTAATTGGACGGTACAATAATTCATTTTGTTTTTAAAAATACTTTGCATAACATTTCGAGCACTGTGTACACTTAAAAAATGCATAATTTGAAGAAAAAAAATGAACTCATTACTAATTTAATTACTTAATTTAATTTATTACTTTAAAGGGAAGATACAATGTACAACATTTGCAAACATCAAAGAACGAAATGATCAAATTATCACGTATACCTTACTGAACTGTTAGGGAATGACAGTCTAAAGCATCCTTTAAAATCATGGCTCCTGGTGTGCTGACATTTTAGCTGGCTTTTTTTCAAAAACTGTTCCTATTTTTTCATATGAAGTTATTTTGACTTTTCTTTGCAATTGATTACACACCTGCGGGGTGCAAGCCTGCGCTAAACTTATGAAGTTCTCGACCTTACAATTCCTCAAAGAGTATTAATTGCTCCGTTTCATCTTAAGTGGGGTCAGGGAACCAGACTACAAGAATATGATAGGTTTTTATGGTTTTTCCAGCATCTACAAGCCCAAAACGTGAATTAAGTCAGTTTAACAATATTTTCTATAACATACTAATCCGCCGAATCCATTTATTTCTGAAAATTGCAGCAAAACTAGCGTGTGCAATTTGTAGCAAGGAAATTAATGCACGCGCAAGTTTAAACTTGCGCACGCACAGGTTTAAACTTGCTCGCACAAGTTTAAACTTGCGCGGGGACTCAAATTGCGCTCGACACAAACACAAGCCCAAAGCACGATAAACTAACAAACAAACAAGCTAAAACAAGAAAAAAAACCGGATAAAAACAATATAAAAAAGGGCCAACTGGATTGTGGATAACTGGATTGTGGATTTGTAGCAAGTCCCATCTGCACAAAACTTAGGGTGACATGTAGTTCACACCAGGAGTCAGCCAGTGTAACCTCAGTTAAGCAATGAAAGTGTTCAGACCAAAGATAATACAGGGCGGTGCCGCTTTTCTCAACAGTGATGACCATGCACTGATGCAGTTGTTATTTTATCATTAACCGGCATAAGTAACGTATGCCAGATCAGCCAGAATCGAAATCAGTAGTAGACAGAATATAGTTCTACTGTAAAATCTTGCAAAGAAGAAAGTAAAATCTTGCAAAGAAGAATTAAAATTGACGAACCAGCTACTTGGTACTGTTAGTTGGTGGTAATATTCTCTTCAATTCAGAACTCCTCGAGAAAGCTTGGAGCACTACTTCCGCGACCGAACTTTGCTTTGCACATACTGTATACATATCGTACGCCACGCGGTACACAGTACGCGTTTGGTACGTGTGTACACACGTACGAAACGAGCAGTTGAACTCCGTGAAATTTTCGAGCATACAAATGTTGGATGTATGGAATATTTCTAGACAATTATCAATTTAAACAAAAAATGATCAAATAGTACCCTTCAAATTATCATATTTTTTTTTATAATCCATGTGACTGGGAACTTGCAAACATTATATACAACATCATCTACTCGTATTTTTACTTAAAACTTTGACCCGAGAAAAGTTTGTTGACATCACAGGTTGACCTGCTGTTGTGGGGTCATAATTATGATTGTTTACTGTGGGTATAGCAACGTGCACTGCATGCAGCCTGCAAGCGTAAACGCAAGTATTATTCGGGGATTTGGCCTATTTTCAACATGTTTGTTGATGGGGGATAAAGTGTAACATCGTAAGAATGATTAATTAAGAACACGAAGCTTGATTTTGTAGATGATTTCTTTACTTTGCCTTTGGGTTGGCAAGTTAATTGTTGGTGTCCTTGATTTGTTGTACGTAGCCTAGTTCAATTTTTGTAAACCGTGCGTTTATATTTATAGTTACATGTAGATACGAGCCCGTGAACGTGGCGTTGTTGTTTCCTTGCTCTATGCCCCGACTTTCCTCATGCAAAATGTGTTGCCAAACCTCTCCGTAGAAAACCTCAAATTAATTCAGTTTATTAGTGTGCTGTTGAACCATTGTCGTGATTGTGAACAATTTGAGTGGCATGAAATTAAGTCCGAAATTCAAAGGGTGTGGGTATTTAAAAACAGTGCCAGTGGCGTCCAGAAATTGGGCACAAATTCTGCCGTGTGTTCCCTAACGTGGCGCACTTGAACAAATCTCGGAAAATCCCACTTTAATGTCTAAGAATTTCTGTAAATTTGATAAATTCTGATATAAATTATTTATCTCCACTCACATACGTAACTACAAGTTTGTCAGAAAATAGTTTTCTTATTTTTGGGCGAATTTGAAAAGGGTTCATTGTGCACTTCGAAAAAAAAATTCGGAAAATCACGCCAAATGGAATTTCCCATAGAACTTCGTAGCGGGTAGGTAAACTCAAGATTTATGAACGGGAATGTTTAGAGCTTGATGAAATTTCACATTTTGTGAAATTTGAGGTAACAATATTGCTCTAACAGTAACAAGGCACAAGAGGCGAAAAATCAAAGTGCGCCACGTTCGGGGCCGCGCCACGTTAGGGTACATCAACAATATACACACGCCACCTTCATCACGGGTCTATACGAGCATGACGAGTCCAGCCTCCACTCGTTTAAAGCATACTCCATGTTAAAATACTCGAGGTCCAAGCTCCTCAATGGCATTCCATGGGTTCAACTTCAAGACAGTCAATTGCAAGTTCTTGTGTACAACAAAGTTTAGCCCCATAAACATGATAAATGTGGCCAATTTACTGGACTACCTCCGTAAATAAAGGCCACATTTGGAACATGTACCTGATAATGATGAACTTTGTCAAGTTTTGATTTTCATATTTAGTCTTTGTTTGAAGTTTATTATTTATGCTTTAGAAGCACACTCACCCGCTTATACTAGTGAAAAGAAGTTCGGCATTTTTCAGATACGTGTCTAGTTTTTGTGTAATTCCCAGGTTCGTTTGCACACATTTGCAACACGAAATTACACAAAAAATAGACGTGTGAAAAATGCCGAACTTTTTTCCATCGCTAAGAAAATGAGTGTGCTTCCAAAGCATAAATAAACAACAACGTGTCAATATGAAAACAAAATCTTGACAAAGTTCTACATTTTTGGGTACATGTTATGTGGCCTTTATTTACGCAGGTTAGTCCAGTAAATCGGCCACATTTATGTGTTATGTTAGTCCAAGTAAGGAGAACTCTACAAATCGCCTTTTTTAGTAAACATTTGGACATGGTCTGGCAATGTAGCCTACATGTACCATTAATCAGTTACACTCGTACCCTCAATCAAAATGTTCAGATTTCACCACGAAAAAGGTCCTGAAACTGTCTTTTAAGGCCCTGTAGGCTTTTGTGGGAATTTAAAATTCTAATGGTAGGTTCACTTATATTTGGGAAGAAAAGAGAATTTTTTTTTAATTCGGAAACCCTCCTGTCGTCCTGCTGGAGACCGCAATCTTATTTTTTTAAGCGATCTTACTGATTTTTTTTTCAGATACAGTGGTAATAGAAGTGACAGCAATGTTAGAAACAGAATCAGACTTTGGCCTGCGGTGGCTGTTTAACCCAAACAGCTCTGAGTTCCTACCAATTCATGAGCAACTCAAACAGTACAAGACTCGTGATCTGGCCAAGACGAAAACGTATGCCACTGCCACGAAACTATGGGGACTCTCGCGCAGTCGAAAGAGGGTATTCATCGCCCCGCCCATGGGAGGTCACCCGGGGAAGGATGTCAATGTCCGACAGGCAAACACTAAACTGAAACCGTTGGACACACCCAAAACCCAAAATGTTAAAAACAAGGACTGGGCTTTGAGTGAGCTTGAAAAAATTGCCGCTCATGATAAAGAAATTGAGGAGACATCGAGCGAGTACAAGGCGTGGCTGGAAGACAGGATGAAACTGCGAGACGGTTTGGAGAACCTGGGCCTGAGCGAGGAATGGCTGAGGAATAAACCGGATCCCAGCCCTCTGGAACAGAGGGTGGTGGACCGCATGAGGGAAGAGCGATTGAGGAAACAGCTAGTCAGAAAGGTGAGGTTTTTTAACGTTGTGTGATTTTTTTGGCTCTTTTTCCATTTATTCTGCAAAAACAAATGCCTCAAAAAGTTTTGACTCTTCAATGACATTGTATTTCCACAAGAATGTTCCTCATTCATTACATGGATTTGTATTGTATAGTGACTTAAGCCCGGTTCATACTCGGCGCGAAAGCGAAAGGGAACAGAAATTTGTGACGTGATGGCAAGTATTTGCGCTGCGAATTCGTAAAAGGTGAACATATTTCAACTCGGGCGAATTTCGCAGTGAATCTTTCATGACGTCGAATTCGCTTCGCATTCGTGTGGAGTATGAACCGGGCTTTACTATGGATGAATAATTAGGCAAAGAAAAAAAATGAGACCAGTTGATAGAGGAGGATGAGGGTCACTGTATTTTTAATTTTTAATTGCTCATGAATATATGCTAATTTTCATTAGCGTGAAAAACAAAAGGCACCGAAGTTGCCCATAAAACTGTTCAAATGAAAATGGAAAATAAGGTTCCGGACACAGGTGCATTTACAAGGACTGCATATTTATTGCAATGGCCTTTAAAAATAATACTAATTATCTTTTGCTCAACAGGAACTATATCAAACAAGGGATTATGATCTGCAGGTACAAGTCATCCATAAAGATGACAATGCATGCTTTTGTGACATGTGTATTGCACCATGTAAATATTTCCACGCTTGGTGAATCACGTTGTTGCACTGTGCATGATCTGTTTTTTTTTTTACAAGAATTTCACTTGTTTTTAAGTATTTCAACAATTTTGATAATGTACAATGTACATGTGTCTAAATCATTCATTCTTGAGATGCAAGACATCTGCATGCATACATAAATTTCGGGTTGATGTCGTCTACATGTATGATCTGTGCTATTGTGTCTTATTACATGTACAGTAAATGTGAAGAAAAAAAACATGATTAAAAACCAGTTTTACTTCAGTTACTTTCATCGTCGAAATTGAAAACAAGTAACTACCTGGTGATTATTGTTAACCAGCGCCTGAGTTTATAAAAAAATTGTACGTTAAAATTTCATATTTTGGGAAAAAAACTATATATACCGGTATATCACAGCGATTGAAATGAGGAATACATGTACATGTATTTCATGTATCTAACTATTTGTCAGGTGAAGTAATGATGTGCCGCAGTTTATATGTTGTAAATGCAAGTTGCACGGTGGTGGTAATGGTTAATTGTGAGACAGTTTTCATTCTGCTTGCACTTGTTTGTTGTTACAATGATATCTATCCACAAGCTTTTGTCAATTTAGCATGTGCATTAATGCAGATAATTGTATATTGCTTGGGTGTTGGCTATGTCTATCTTAGTGTGTTTTAATGGATCTGTACAACTGTGTGCAAAGTTGCACAAGAATTTGTGTTCCTATCACAGCAAGAATCGTATGATAAACCAATTTGTATTCAAATATCACAGGATGTTACAAAAGTCTTTGCAATGCACTCTTCACAGTTCACACTTCTCCTTAGAGGTACCCATGGTGTTCCGACCAATTGCAGCCGTGATTAATATCTGACATGCATTCACTAAAGTCCAACATGTGTGCATGGCGTGTGACGCATGCGGCTGGAACATACATGTACATATATGCAGCATGGCATTGAAGAGAAAGAGAAGCATGCATGACTTTGCCAATGTGCGCAGTGGGCGGGGCCTGTTGGAAGAGCGCAAACATCAATAGGGTCGATGTTCAGATTGCACGAAACTTGTCTTATCTTACGACTCATCTTAGGACTTATTAAAGACAAGTCCGTGTTCTAAGATCGATCTTACATGTAGCTACATGTAAGACGCATCCTAAGACCGATTTCACTAAACCCGTCTTAAGCAATTAAGATGCATCAAACCTAGCTACCAATGTGATGGCTGTTTCATGTTTGTTTTTACCGCTTGATGAAACTGTCTTATGTTTGTTTTTACTGCTTGACGAAACAGTCGTTCAAAAGAAACGTGCAAAACGAACTTCCTGCGCGCGTGCGTAGAGCGCCAACTTTGCCAGAAAAATTACGAGACTCATTAAATTTCACACGCATTGTATCTACACAACATACGATAGAGTCATTCTTGCTCCCCGATTTATCATTATATTTTAAAAAGTTATAAGTGTTGGCGTATAAATATTTGAGCTATTTTTATTAAAACTAACCACATATCAGATATATTTTCAAATCTGTTTCTACAGCAGTTTTCTTCCTTGCAACTAGACCTCTAGGCTGACACTCGTCTTTAACGGCAATAAGTTCCAGACGATATACAAATTAATGCACATGTGCATTAATTTGTCTGTCAGTCTGAGGGTCGTCTTATCTCATAATGTGCACATTATGAGATAAGACGACCCTCAGACTGATCTTCAGTTAAGAAGAGTTCAGCCGCGTTGCTAAGGAAGTTAGGATGTGTTGATGAACGCGTTTCAAGTTGAATGAAATCGATCCTAGGATGAGTGGTGAGTTAAGACAAGTTAACCTTCTTAAGACTCATCTTAAGGTTTGGTGACATCGGTCCCAGGAGGGCCGGGTAGCTACATGTAGGTTCATATCCTCTTTGCTCAACCATATATTATACAATTTGAACAGAAAGGGCAAGATCCCACCACCATCAAGCTGGAAGTGCCAACTGGTGAACCGATCACTCCTGGCATCAGAAGGCCTCCGCCAGAAGCCATGGCCATCATCGCCAAGTACCTGACAGCCAGGAGACACAGACTGATTGACCTGTTTGCCCGGGCTGACAAGGACAAGAGCTGGACGCTGACAAGGATGGAGTTTCAGCGATGCATTAAGGAGGTACTGTATGTACAGAGGAAAGAGGGGTAGGTCTGTTCATATCTGGCACTCTTCGGTGAGTGTTAGATGTTAAGTTTTGCAAATATTATTGTCAAGATAATCTCCAAAAGTGGACTACAGATCAAGTGATACACAAGTCATCGCAAGTTGTCGCAAGTCATCACAAGTCATTATAAGTCGTCACAACTCATCACAAGAAGTCATATAAGTCATTACAAGATATCACAACTCATCACAAGTCATCAAAACTTATCCCAAGTCATCACAACTCATCAAAAGTCAACACAAGTCATTACAAAAATCATCAAAAGTCGGCACAAGTCGTCACAAGTCGTTACAAGTCGTCACAAGTCGTTACAAGTCGTCGCAAGTCAATCATAAGAATCCAGTCTTTTGTCAAGTCTCAAGCTTCAATTGAAGTTTAAATTGATCGCATTCTATTAAATGTAAATTTGTTACATTATGCATGTGCATGGAACAGTCAATTTGTCTTGCTAGTAGATGCCACTTGGTGTTTGGCCTTGTGGCATATGGCACAAAGATAACGAGAGTTTTAGTCAGCAGTTATTACAAGTCAATCACAATTAAGTCATCGAGTCTCAAGTCATGAAGTCTGACATTTATACACTCCTTTCATTGTCCACCCCCTGTTTAATACGTGTAACTTGAATTGAGAATTAATTGACTTCTAATTTGACATCTGACTGACTCAATTACAACTTTGTAGGTCATTGTATACAGGGTGTTTCAATAAAAAGGATACCCAACTTTGAAGAACCAGTATGGACAGACTAAATGCTTACTGGCTATAAAACTGGTATCATCTGAAAGTGTAGTCTCTATGCTTTCCAATGATACCTTGTTTACATTTCCAGGGTCATGCATCACTGAGCGCCACTGTCATGAGATTTTCATGCAAAATCGTGTCAAACACAATAGAATAAGTATTATAAGTATTTTAAGTGTCCAGTGTTTTTTTTTAAGAAAGTGAACCAACTGCATTTTTGCATCCAGTTTTCAAGACAATGATGCTACTGATGCATGACTCAGAAAACCTGAACATGGTACCATTGAAAAGCATAGAGATTACGCTTTCAGATGATACCAGTTTTATAGCCAGTAAACATATATCGTCTGTCCATACTCATTCTTTGAAGTACAAACTGGGTTTCCTTTTTTTTAAAACACCCTGTACATGTTCATGTATACCCTATTCAACTTGGAAGGACAGAATTACTCAAACTACAGGATAAACTCATGCAACATTTATGTACAATGAGCATGGACTCCTTGCATGAACAGAACATATAGATGGCATTTTGTGACAACCTTCAAAAGCCCCAGTGGGAGGTATAAGCGAGAAGTACTACTTCTTTTATTCGAATCTGAATGAGTACAAATCAGTGGCATCTTTACATGAGCGTCAGGCGCTGTTGGCAATGCGCTCGAATGTCTGTCCAGTGAGTGGTCTCCCTAAACTCTCCCGTTGTAACCGTTGAGGGGGTACTTGTGCACAGAGTCCATAGCTGTTTACACATTGATTTTTAAGTCATGTACATTGTCTTAATTTCTCTTGATACATTGTGTATAATGTTTGCTATTCCGCAGGCCGGCATTCCAATCTCCAGCCAGCTTCTCTCAGATCTACTAGAGAGCTTGGACCAGGATTCCAACGACGTGATTGACTACAGGGAGTTTGTACGCGGGATGAAAGATTTCAGGATTGATGAGAGGAAGAAGGTCTCCTTGGCTTTAAGTACGTTTCTTGGTTTGTCAGAGGCAGTGATTATAGTAATTACTGTCAATACTGTGGGCTCTGTTTCTGATCGTTAACTCAGAAATTCCTCTCTGCTTGATGTGACCACTTTGTATTATGTAATATGTTTTAAAGATATAGTCCATCATTTGCAGCCATCTGAAAAGTAACTGGCGTAATTATTGTTGAAAAACATACTTGGTTGAAAGATAGTACATGTAAGTGGACTAAACTCCCTGTGAAATTATTCTTTCTGGCAAGCTGTCATTTTGAAGAAATCAACAAAAGAAGGCCTTAACAACGGTGCTTCTTAAGACGCACCATAGGAAATTTAAATCAGTAGTTCGTTTTGTTATTCCGCAAGCATTGGCACGACGCACACGCGCGCGCGGTTGCTAAAATTCGGATCAGTGCGCGACATCGTGTATAGCTGCAATTCAAAACAATTCAAAACACGATTCAGCAACTTTTGATTTGAAATTGAGATCCTAGAATGCTGTTGCTTCAAACGAACAAAAGGCACAAATTACAAATGATGGACTATACCTTTAAATTTCAATATTGGGTTTTGCCCTTCCCCGACGTACTTTCAAGCAACACTGATCATACGGTGTTTATAAAATATGTCAGTGAAGGCAAAACCCAATATTGCATTTACATCATCCCGCGGCAAATTCCATTTTATGAATGTTTTAAAGTGTCTTTATAAACATGTTGCTTGAGTGGTAAGACGTGAGCAGGAGGATCAAGTCCCATCCAAGTACCTGTAGGCTTTTAAAAAAAATTCTGGCAAGCTAAAAATGGTTCTGAAAATTATGTCAGTGAAGGACAAGAGGCAGTATTCAATTGACTAGCAAACAGTCTTGTAGTGTTGAAGATTGTATGATGGTTGGCAGATGATACATAAATTGGCCAAAGATATAAGCTGCAATGTGTTAATCTTGAGTATGACTTCAGGATTTAGACACCTACATTGATCAGCACGACCCTGAGTTTATATTACATAATTCACCAAACACTATACTTTTAAAAAATACATGTATACAATAAAGAGACTCTAAGCACCAGCAACTAATAAAACAGCCTTGGATGATCACCAATCGCAAGTGAAATTGCCTGATTTGTTGCAGATAAAGGCAAAGAAACGGCAGGAGACCTGAAACCCTCCCCAAGCCCCACCTCTCCGTCCTCAGACCTGCGTCGTTCCGTCTCGCAACGCTCGGTGTCCGCAGTCTCTGGAGCATCCTCGTCGCAGTCCCCAACCGACTTCACGTCCAGGTCTTCATCCCCGTATCTGTTGCCCCCGGTAACCGATCTGACGGAGCGGCGCGAGCTGGAGCCGGACGATATGATCGAGAAGAGGAAACGAGAGAAGCATCTTGGGACTTTGGTGGGTAACTTCTCAGAGACTCGACACCCTCCCTCCAAAAAATTAAAAAATTGAAAACTTTGTAAACACCCGCGTTTGCAAAGGAGTTTTATGAGTCTCAGGAAAATGACCATCCTATCACAAGGTTGTTGATAGAGTGAAACAAAACAACTTCTAAAGAAGTTTGAATTGCTGGTAATAAAATAAATTCAACTTTCGGAATTTCATAACTATTTTTTCTTGCAGAATTCTTTAGATTTGTAGATTTTGCATATTTAATCCTAAATCAATTGGAGGTGATGGAAATCAAGTTCTGAACAGCTAAAAATATCTCAAATGAGGTAGCACGCGTAACTGCTGACATACATGTACACGTACCAGATAATTTAACAATTAAAGTGTATATGTGTTATGGGATATCAGTGTGACGTCATTTACAGCCTGTCTAAAAAAAAATGGTACAATCAGAAAAAAAATTGGTTAAATATGAAATTTCAAAATAAGTCATTCTTACTTGGCATAAAAGAACAAAGACTGGGCTTTCCAATAGTGTTTGTTTGATCTTATTTGCTTTTGTCAGTTCAGAGATATAATCAAAATAGTGTGATACACCAAAATCGATTTTGTGCCACTTTTATGCATGGGCAGAGATGTTTCGAGTACTGTGCCATGCTGTCTTGAAGCTCACAAAAGATTGCAACTGGGCAAAAGAAACAAACTCGATTTTTGTGTTCCGCAGTAAACTGAAGTTATCTCTGGATTGACAAAAGCAAATGAGATGAAACAAAAAGTATTGGAAAGCCTGGTCTTTTTTCTTTAATGTGATGCTCAAAACGACTTACTTATGTTGAGATTTAATATTGAAAGAAAAAATTGTTTTCGATTGTACCATTTTTTTTTGGAGACAGGCTGTAGATCCAGAAAGTGTAGTGCAAACCAATGCGTCAGCGGCACTAATGTCTTTTACACATGTTCTGTGCTCGTGATGTATTCACTTCGATACTAGACCACTGTATGTCAGTACAGACCACTTGACACAATTTGCCACTCAGATCAATTAAGCTATAGTCACGCGACTGCAGATCCTCAGAACTCAGCTTTCTTGATAAATTTGTGTAATTTCTTCTTTTGGGGGGAATTTCAGAGGAAGAAGAAAGGCAAGAGTAAGGGTGTTGGCAAGGTTCGGACCGGCAACCCGGCCATAGATAGTCACAGTATGCGGTCAACCATCGGAGGAGAGACAGGGTCTGGCATCAATCAGTACAGAGAGGCTAGACTCAAGGAGTACCATGATATCTGCAAGCTGTGTGAGAGACATGATATAGATCTGACGCCACAGCTACTAGAACGAGGTAATTATTTGTTAGTTATTCAGTACTTTTGAAATTGTTGCGTTAAAGTAAGTTTAGCCCTCAAATTATGTTTTGATTTTGAGAGGTGTTCATTGTACTTTTGCAAACTACATGCACTGTTTACCCTATCAGTGGAGTTGTCCCAAGCCTTGGATATCTTTAGTTTTCAGATCCTTCATTTGGGATATACTGTATGTGTTTTTTTGATGTTCTCTTTGAAGATGTATTTTTATTGGTTTACAACAGTTACGCCATGTAAGTCAGCATGAACATGCATGCTCCGTGTTATCTTGCATATCTTCCAAATTCTGTCTATACAGCCTGTCTAAAAAAAAATGGTACTGTCCAAAACGATTTTTTTTTTCAATATTAAATCTCAACATAAGTAGTCGTTTTGAGCATCACATTAAAGAAAAAAGACCAGGCTTTCCAATACTTTTTGTTTAATCTCATTTGCTTTTGTCAATCCAGAGATAACTCCAGTTTACTGCGGAACACAAAAATCGAGTTTGTTTCTTTTGCCAAGTTGCAATCTTTTGTGAGCTTCAAGACAGCATGGCACAGTACTCGAAACAACTCTGCCCATGCATAAAAGTGGCACAAAATCGATTGTGGTGTATCACACTAAATTGATTATATCTCTGAATTGACAAAAGCAAATAAGATCAAACAAACACTATTGGAAAGCCCAGTCTTTGTTCTTTAATATTATGCCAAGTAAGAATGACTTATTTTGAAATTTCATATTTAACCAATTTTTTTTCTGATTGTACCATTTTTTGGGGGGCAGGCTATAATGTAGCTTATCAATGCTGTCCAGTAGTTTTTTGTGTCACTAACTCCAAAGCTATATTCGCCACTGCTTCAGTCATTTTGAACCTGTCTACTTTAGCTCATAATTGATCGCTGCTACCTGAATGTCGTACAAAATGAACAACTCTTCTGATGAATTCTGCAAAGAATGGAAGACGCCAGCACATCTGTGCCTCACATATTTTAAGAATGCTATCAAAGCAGTTGGCAATTGTTTTGTCTCTGTACCACTCAAAACCCGGGCGATCCGACACTTATGGATTTATCATGGAATAAATACAATAACATTAAGTACCGTAATTTTCGGAATATAAGCCGCGGCTTATACGTTGAATTTGCCCATGAAAATGTTTACTGGGGCTTATACACAGGGCGGCTTATACGCCGAGCCTTGAAGAATAAAAATGATATTCAAATGTATATTTAATATACTGGCACAAGAAAACATCTGTTGCTGAAATGAATTATCAATTAAGAAAGTCATTAACAAAGCAAAAGCACGTCCCACAAAAATATACCGCACTGAGCGGTAAAAAGTACGGCAGGCTGGCCGGCCACGCGTGAGTGACAGCTGTCTTCGACAACTGGCTGTACGTGATACTGCTGCATGCCATGCTGTATGCATTCCCAATGGACCACACCATTTGTGGTTATAAAGGGGTGTATTTTCTTCGGAACAATAATAACCAATATTTTTAGCTGATTAAGAAAAGAAAAAAAGACAACTTATACTTTTTATGGAGTTCAAAACATTTCTTTATTCGATAATCAGTTGTTCAACGTCCCAATATTTTTTCCTTGAAATGTATTCAAGAAACAACATGAACAATGTAAAACTCAAAACAGGGGCTAAATCACCCCTTACGAAATTAATAGATTCGTCTATAAAAATGTCAGCATCGCGTTGACTGTTTTTGAACAAAGTTACGACCGAAACTTGAATTTTGACGTTACTACTCATTAGTAATCACAACTATTTGATCAGTTTTGTTGTAAAAACGGACCTTTTTATTCTTAGGACAGAGCAAGACTTGTAGCGCTCCAGTCAGATGACACATGGGTGGGTTGCATACTCTCTCATTGGCCGGCGCAGGCTGCCGGGCCATGCACTAACTTTTAGGCCGGGGACCCGAGGGGCCAGCCGGCAGCGATTCCCGGTGTTTATATTTCTCATCATCAATTTCCATATTGTTTATAGGAGTATCGACTGTAAATGATTTGATATAACTTTGTGGCCCTTTCTATAGCTTTCGTAGTGTAAATGGAACTGGTTCAGAGCATTTCCGACTAGAATTTGGAGGTCTTACAAAATTGAAACCGCTGCGGTCGAGCGGTGCAGCTTATACGCCTGTGCGGCTTATACGCCAACTTCAAATCTTAATTTGCAGATTTTTGCGTGCTGCGGCTTATACTCCATGCGGCTAATATTCCGAAAATTACAGTACAGATGCTAATAGGTTTACCAGTAATATCTACGGTCATGTGTTTATGTACCAGTGGGGGATGTTAGAAGCAGATTAGTTCATATCGTCGCGTCAGTGCAACAAGGTCGTAACTCCATTCTGCAACAAAGTCGCATCTCGCGTGAATACGCTCCGTGCAACGAGGTTGTATCTTGACGTCCATTGACTTTGCGTGTACATCCGTGTTATTTTAAGCGAGATACGACCTTTTGACATTCTAAAACTCGCGTTTTGCATTCATAACTCCATTCTGCATGTTCTGCAACAAAGTCGTATCTTGCACGAATACGTTCCGCGCAACAAGGTTGTATCTTGATGTCCATTGACTTTGCGTGTACATCCGTGTTATTTTAAGCGAGATACGACCTTTTGACATTCTAAAACTCGCGTTTTGCGTTCATAACTCCATTCTGCATGTTCTGCAACAAAGTCGTATCTTGCACGAATACGCTCTGCGCAACAAGGTCGTATCACGACGTCCATTGACTTTGCGTGTACATTCGGGTTATTTTAAGCGAGATACGACCTTTTGACATTCTAGAACTCGCGTTTTGCATTGTTCATGCCATTTTAAGAGATACGACCTTGTTGCACTGACGCGATGATATGTGTGGTGTTAATACTGAAAATTGTTACAGTTGGCAAATAACATTGGTATTAAACTGACCTTCTCCTCATAGCTCTACTCCACCCTGGCGACAAGCCAGTCCATCGCATCAGTTCCCACATCCGACAGCCCGGCACCTACACCCTCTCCCAGCACTTCGCTGACCCCCCTGCCCCCAGCGAGCCCCCTCCCAAGTACCACGACCCCGATAAGGTCGTGGTGACTCGCAGCGGTGAGTTGATGATGGAGGCTAAACATGCTTATCCCCAGGGACACGAGGTGCGAGCTGAGCCCGAGATGATGGCTCTGTCCAGCGGCAAGGCCTTCGTGAGTCGCAAGGTAGACTGCTGGATGACGTTTGAGGAGTACGATCGCCTCACCAGGTGAGTTTGGTACATTCAGTGGCGAGTCTTAGTGGATCATTTTGAGTGCTTACATTAGGAATGGAAGGACTGCAGCCCTACTTTTCTCTTTTCTGCCTGCATTTCTATCAATATGGATCTGCCACTAACAATGCTGGTGAGTTTTTAGTGAATGTGCAGAACTGAGCAGTTTTGAGGATAAGGGCTTATTTGTACATTATTGCAAACGCTAACTTTGACGTCTCCATGCTTTCGCAGTGACGTTCACGTTGAATTGTGTTAAACTGGCTATACAAATTTTCAGACTTGTAAAAGCAGCAAATTTGCAAGTGTGTTGGCATTTGTACCAAGTATAAAACTTTGAATCTTTCATTTGGAGCATTGTCTGAGCATGGTTGCATGTTACTCAATAGGACCATTCTAGTTGGGCAGATACTAGAAATGCACAGGGTTCCTCAAAGCATACAGCAAACATCTTGTTTAAGGTTTGGAAATACTACGAGTCCTATACAGGGCGAGTCAAAAAGAAGTTGACCGGGATTGGTGATGTTTTTCAAAACAAACAAATGACACTCAAAAGTTCAGTAAAGCATATATTTAACAAGCACTCTCTCCTGCTTATTAGAAAAAAAGAATGAAACAAATTGATCATTCCTAAGAGGAGTTATGTCTATTTTAATAAAGGTACTCATTTTGCAAGCTGTCCACAGAATACTTGAACAAACAAATGTAAAGTAAGCATTTTAGCTGTGTACATCAACATTCCATGGACAGCTACAAACATGAGTGCTTTCAGTAAAACAGGCATAACTTTTCTTAGGAATGATCAATTTGTTTCATTCTTTTTTCCAGACAAGCAAAAAAGAATGCTTGTTTAATATGTGCTTCACTGGGGTTTTGAGTGTCATCTGTTTGTTTTGAAAAACATCACCAATTCCGGTCAACTTCTTTTTGACTCACCCTGTACATTAGGGGCATGTTCCTCTAATTGGACTGCTGTACAGTGTACACAGTATCAACACACACAAAAGGACTTACGTGTGAAATGAGAATGTTCCTTTTGTAAAGTGAAAAAAACACCAGTGTCAAGTAAAATGAAGTATAATTTGGCATTCCCGGTTTGTTCCAAGTAGGAAAGTGTGATCCTACATGTAGTTCAAACAAGTACACATTCACAAAGGAATGTTGATGCTCCTATGAGCTGCTCCCTTGCTCAAGTTGGCTTGAGCAACTGATTTGATTGTCACTATTTGGTGGATGTTTTGTCTTATTCAGGCATCTTGGCAAGCGCTACGTGACTCTGGATGGGGCCGGAGTTGATCCCAATGCCTTCTGGCCAGGCCAGCTACTAGACAAGATATGCCTATGCATGCCAGGCATAGACAAGCCCAGTACGGATAGCATCTTCACGTCAAAGCGATCAACCACGCACAGGGCCTACCCAGGCTACAACAACGACCTGAAATGGTGGCCAATCAGTGAACAAGGCTACATGATGCCGGCGGATTATGAACAAAACAAAGTCTACAGTGTAGACTGGAAGTGAATAATATTGATCAAATTGTAATGTATTAACACTTGTGACTTCCTAGGTAACATTTCTAAGCTAATTATTCATCATATTAAGACGCTTTATCATCACATTAGGTTTGCCCTTCACCGACGTATAAAAACTGTATACTCAGTGTGTTACCTCCCGAGTGAAAGTTGAAAAAAAAAAATCACTCAAGTGGGATTTGAACCCACGACCTCCTGCTTTCTAGTGCAGATGTCTTACCACTCGAAACCGAGCTAACAGGATCGGTTGGCTGGTTCGAATCTGATGTACATAGCAGCCGGTACCGCATAAACTATTCATAAGATTACTTTCACTCAGGAGGTAACACACCGAGTATACAGCATTTATACGTCGGTGAAGGGCAAAACCTAATTTGATTTACATCACCCCGATGCAAAATTCTATCTTATGAACACTTTATCATGGTGGTTTTGATACGGTAGGAACTACAGATGATGTACCACGAAGTAGGGTAGGTCCTTTTTTAGCAAGTTTCTCAATGGATTGTCTCCTGTGCTAACCCATACTAGAACCCTCCATGGTACAGTAGAATGTGCTATGATGAACATTGTGGAGTCCAAGATGCATGTATGTCTGTATAATTGTATACAAAATTCGGGAGCCGGGGGGATATTTATAGCCAAACTTTCATTATGGACAAATCCGGCGGCAGGCTTGTGTGAGTAGTGCTCAGGTAGTAAACATGCACTCGGGGCTCCTTTGACCAATAGGAATATAAAAATGCGTGTGCGCCTCGTCTTTAAGAACGCATGCAGCATGGGCATGAGACCACCGCAGTAAAAACTTCTAATTCTGGTCGCCAGATTCCACTACAGCGGTGTTTTCATAGTATCACTAATGAACAATAGATATTAATTGCTAATGTGAGGACATTAAAAGGTGAAATTCCACTCATAAAACTGATCTATGTATAACAGTCATACTATCTACTACCATCAACTCCTTCAAAGCACAAGAGAGGCACAGCAAAATAGTTGTATAAGCCAGAAAAAGATTCCGGTTTGATAAAAAAAACTGCAGCTTGCTTTCTTTTTTCATAAAAATGGGTCTCTTAATCATATCCATGCAGCATGTGCAGTGGCAATATCATCAGCTATCTTGCCTCTGCAGGCAGTTTGAACTGTACTATTATGCTTAAGGGGTGATAAGATTATACAAACAGAGGGCGTACACTGTTTGTCATAATTTCATACCCTTCACACCCATACTTCAAAATGGTAAAGTCCAGACTCCGCGCAAGGGCAAGATGGCCACCAACTGCAATGCTGCCAAAAATATTTTTTTCCTGGGAAGAAAGGTCTGTTTTCATGAACAAATCCACAAGTTGTGTCAGTCAAAATTGTCTTTCTGCGTTAATAGTATGGTGCTGTGTCTATGTGTGTTTTTTAAGGAGTTGACGAGAAGTTGGCGGTAGTTGACAGCCGTTACTTGCAGTGTTGTAGTCTAGTCCATCACAAGTCCTTCAGTCTCAAGTCAAGTCACTAGCTATTCAAACGAACTGTTAAAAGCATTCCTTCATGCTGTTACTTGTGACTGGACTTGTGAAAGAACTTGTGATGGATTTGACAATTAGTATGACGGTTTTGAAGAGTCCGGATGTGAATCTCAGGGGATAGGAATTGGCTACTACAGGGAGTCGATCCTTCTTACAAGTTAGGAGTCGGCATTCCGAGTCTCAGTTCAGAAGCAGTTCTATCCATTCCTGCACAGAGGTGCAGTAGCCTTCCCTGAAGAGCACTCATGACTCTTTTGATTTCTCATTTTTGTGTAATTTTTCAGAAACAAGCAAATGGTTTCCAATCGAAGAGGACAGCATATGAAATGCTTTGTATGGGATACAAGACTTAAAGGGAAAATACAACATTTGCAAACATTAAGAAATAAAACTACCAAATTATTTTGAAATACCTTGCTGGACTGTTAGTGAATGAGTCTAAAGCATCCTGTAAAATCATGGCACCTGGTATACTGTCACTTTCAAGAAAAGTGCTAATTTTCGTATCAATTTCCAATGCTGGTCGGCCGACCAGTGTTGAAAAAAAAACTGGCTTTTTCAAATACTGGCCCCAGTTGACCATGTTTAGTTAGTCTGGTTTTGTTTGAACAGGTACAAGCCATCTAAACTGGTTCCATGACCTTACAATTCTCCAACGTCAATAAATTGCTCTGTTTCATCTTAAATGAAGTCAGGGAACCAGACTACAGGAAAATGATTGCTTTTCTTGTTTTTTATAGCATCTACGAACCCAACATGTAAAAAAAGTCAGTGCAACAATATTTGCCATATATTACCAACCCCCAAATCCATCCATTTCTGAAAATTACAGCATAAAGCAAATGATGTATATTCCCTTTAATAACAGAGCAAATAAAGATTGAAAATGTTGATATTGCCAAATGCCATTCAAGGAATTGCACAAAGGAACCCGTTGCGATTCTGAAAATGTCATCGTGGCAATAGTTATATTCTAGTAATTTTCAAACCATAAATTAACTTTTCGATGGTGCATTATTTATATGAATGAATAGTCCCTTTCATGATCAATCCGTCCATGGAAAATCAAACTATTTTTATGCATACTCTATCTTTTTGTAATATTTGTACAGTATTAAATATTTGTAAAGAAAGAGAATGAACAACTTCAAAAACTTTCACTGTCCATGTTTTCGTTTATTTTGTCCTGTGTGCTGTCCACAAGGAAGTAAACAAAGTGGTATACAATGTGCCTTCACTTTTTTCAGCACACTTAGGCCCCCCCAAAAAAGTCTCCGGTTTCTGGTATGCGCGCGCGTCGCCGTAGCCATGCGCGTCGGCAAAATGAAAAAGTTTTTTTTTTCAATGAAAGGTGATGTCTCAAAACCGCCAAACTCACTGGTTTGACTGGAATCCTGCTGCTGCACAATTTTAACGTGTTTTTAGATTGGGTTATGGTCGAGAATAAGCTTTATGAGGCCTCTCTGGACTCCCATATATTTGCACTAAGTTTAGTCGGGCACCATTTGCAGTCATCAGCCGACATTTGAAGCAAAAAAATCAGGTAAAAAAAAAAAAAAAAAAGCCGCGTCGCCGCACCACTTTTTGGGCAAGCTCCATACCAGAAACAGGACACTTTTTTTTTGGCCTTAAAAAGGGCAACTCAGTTTGGTTTTACCTTCAGAAATCTAAGTACTTTTGTATTAATAAGCTAGTGGTGTATTCCAATTGCATTTTCACACATACAATTTTGCAAAAAGATCTGCTTTTTCATGCAAATTACAAAAGGTATCTATGAAATCGAGAAACGGTCCAGTTTTGCATGGGGCCCAAAATCCCCCCCCCCCCCCAAAAAAAATCTTCAGACAGCACCATTTTATGGAGTACTTTTTCGAACAGTGGTCCAATCATCTTTTTTGATTGCATGAAAAACTTTATATGGTACAGTTGGTTACCATCACCCCACACACTGGTCTAAATTAATATTTTGCATTTATCCACACAACATTAAGCTTCAAGAAAACTTGACTCACAGTAAAGACGGATCACACTAGCTGTGGCCCGTTTTCAGTGGTTATCCTTAACCCTTTCATTACCACATTGTTTATTGACTTGGCTCTCCCCAGGACCAAATTGTTTGCTCAGTCATGCGGAAATCACTAGAGCGTGAAAAAAATGAGCACAAGTCAAAAACTCACTTTTTCCAACCCAGATTTTCACTGCCAAGGAGTGATTAAAATCATAGGTGTTGTGTGTAAAGTTTGTTCCTTGAACCTTACTCTTTTATGTGATGTAAAAATGAAGTCCATACGTGCAAATATAAGAAAGTTATGCCTTTTTGTTCATCTGGTCCCAATTATCAAACTGCAAGCCATTTCACCATATGACCCAATGGCACTCCATACCTCAAATTGTGCGTGGATACTTCTGAAGCACTTTTCTCATTTTTTTTGTAATGGTAACACTATGAATAAACCACACCAATAGAAAGATCCGAAAACACTCTTTCAGCTGGTATATAGTTGAGGTATGGGCGGCCAAACATATCAACATGCCGCCTTTCTGAAAAGTAGTGAATATATCTGTGCTGAGGGTGTTTTGTGTGTGGTTTCCTGGTCGACTAAAGTCGCCCATGGGAACCAGCAGGGGGGTACTTTTTGTCGACAAAAGTCGCCCATGGGAAGGAAAGGGTTAACATGCATGGAACAGGAAAATGAATGCATCTTATAGCGCGAGCTGCTCAACCGATGCTATTGATCGACCAATCGGAACACATGTATTATTAGTTATCCCACGAGTGCGCGTGGAACACAGAATAATGTGGCGCGTTTGTGTCCCATATGCCATGTGGCCCAGGGCCGAGTGGAGTCTGGAACGCATTGTTCAACGAGCGCGAGTGGGATGACAAATGTATCTTCCAGCAAACTTGATGCAAAGTAAAGATGGAACACACACGCAGGAGCTTTTCAGTGGTTATCCTATTACACACGCCACAGTAGGAATAGCGCACGCATCTCAGGAGAGCATGATACATGCGGGGTGCTGTGGTCCAATGGTTACGGTGTTCGACTCGTGTGCCGTGGTACATGGGTTCGAATCCTGACCGTGGGAACATGGTGCTTGTGCTCTTGAGCAAGGCACTTTACCATTATTGCTTCGTCCTTCGGATGGGACGTAAAGCCTTAGGTCCAGTGTGTTGTGTAATGCACGTTAAAGAACCCAGTAACACTTATCGCTAAGAGAAGGGGTTCGCCCCGGTGTTTCTGGCAGTGGCTGCAATATGCGCCGCAGCACCTTGTAAACCCTTATAAGTTGTTACATAAGGGGTCTCATATTTGTCATAAACTTTATTAACCTTTCTTTAATAATAGACATATCTCCAGCGCCTTGAGTACCTATTAGTTGGTAGATACGTGCGCTATATAAAACTCCGATATTATTATTATTATGCTGTGGTATATGGGACATCTTCAAGCAAACTTGTATCCTTGATCCTAATTAGTCGATCCATGATATTATACCGTAACGCACGGTCCATCGCACACTTTGTATTGCACTATTCCAAGACGCGAGCGCCATTCCAGCTGCATGCGCTAAACCGCTTAAAGGTCCATGTAAACGGGGTCAGTTCCAACTTTACTGTGCGTCAAGTTAGCTTGGAAATAAATTCATTTTCGCGCTCGCGGAAAAGAAAATGTAGTGCGTCTGTGCACACGTCAGACGCACTGCATTATTCCGTGTTCCACTCGGGCTTGTGGGATAACTGATAATATCCAACTGTTGTTGCCATGGATTGACCAATCGGCATAGAGGATTCAAATATTCTTAGTAAAGACCTTATTTTCATGAGGTCACAATGACCATGTGATTATCTCATATTGAGGTCATGTTGAAAGGCAGCGCAGTATACGATTATTAATATACATGTATGCATTTAGTGCTCGGCCGTGGGTTACATGCCATGCAAAAATTAGGCCTATTGATACACAACTTAGGGGAAGTGAAGGAAAAAATTGAATGACCACATTGGGCACAAACGAGAACTTAACATAAGAAACCCTACAACGAAATCAAACTAACTTCAGTTACGGACAAGGATGTGCAAGTGTTAGCTGACATCCTTGCCCTTCTCTTTCTTCTCTTTGGACTCGTTGGCCCGTTCTTCGGCCCTAGCGGCAGCATCCCTTGCCTTCTTCCTGCTTCTCTTGGATTTCTCCCCGGGCCGGTGCTCCGTACCACCCTTCCCCTTGCCGGCCGTGCCCGTGCCATTCTCGGTCTTGCCCTGCGCGCCTTTATCCTTGTCCTCCAGACGCGACGTGTCGCTGGGTTTCCCATCCTTGGCCCCTGCCATCACTGCTTTGGCATCTGGGCTTTCTTGCGAGCCGTCAGCTTTGTCGTCCTCCTTCTCAGGGCCCTTGATCTCTTTCATCCCGGCCTTTCTCTGTTTAAAGGGGAGACACAACATTTGCAAACATCAAAAAACGAAATGATCATTTTATCACAAAATATCTTACTGGATTGTTAGGGAATGACAGTCTAAAGTATCTTGTCAAATCGTGGCTCCTGGTGTGCTGACAGTTTCAAGAAAACTTGTATTTTTCCAACGCTGGATGGCCGACCAGCGTTGGAGAATACTGACTTTTTTTCAAAAAGTGCTCCTAATTTTTCATAATTAGTTATTCCGTATTTTTTTTGCAAGTGATTACACAGCTGTGAAGGGGTACAAGCCTTCTAGACTGATTCTCTGACCTTACAATTCCCCAAAGTCTGTAACTTGCTCAGTTTCATCTAACGCAGGGTCAGGGAACCAGACTACAAAAACATGGTTGGTTTTCTTGGATTTTCCAGCATCTCCGGACCCAATACGTGAAGCAAGTCAGTTTAACAATATTTGCCATAACATACTTATCCTTCAAATCTATTTATTTCTGAAAATTGCAGCAAAAGCAAGTGTTGTACATTCCCTTTAAGCACACCAATGACCGATAACATACTAATGAAAAAGTTGCATCAGTGGTTAAGTTTTTCATATTACGTTGTCCATCACTGACATCATTTTTCAATCCCTGTGTCCTCAGTGCTGCACAACTGCTTGTGAAAAAAATTCACAAGGTTGCTCTTGAAATATTCTAGTCTAAAGGCAAATGCGAAACTTAATAATAAATATGACAGAGCTTCATGTCTAGTATACTACAGACACCACATAGTTTTCTCAATGAATACAAATATTGTAACATTTTTGTAGCTGAACTGTCGGATAGGTTTTGCATATCTATCCCTGGTTTTTATAAAACCAGACTTTTCAATTTCAATTGAAGACAAATTCTAAAGTTCGGTTACGCTTCATGCTTATGCCAACCACATATCTATCATACAGTTTTTGTGGCAAATGTTGCCTGCAACTAAAAACAGCAGAGGTTTTGCAGACTACAGAGGTATGCCAATCTACAATAAAGATATTGACTAGCATATCTAGTTAACTTTGCAATTGTATGTAGAGTGATTGGGAAAGAGGGATATTTTTGTCTTTAACTGAGAGAGGATCAAATACACTTTTAGTAACAAATACTCAGGCCACAAAAAAATAGTTCTGCTTCCAATTACATGCCTTTCAAAAATAGGGTCAGTGGGTCGGAATTTTATTTTTGGGCCAATTTTTTTTGTGCTGATTGAATGGGGTATTCACTTGCGAATTTCAGTCTGAACTATTTCCATTGCACTACGAAAGCTATACAAAAAAATGGCCACAAAAAGTGATTTAAACTTACCTCTATTTATTGTCAACATATTGACGGTCGATTATTCTTAAAAATAATGGAAAATTCAGGTCGTGCACACCATAATTTTGCACAACGCTAATCAAGGTGGGAAACTAGGCCAACACTGTCCGTACATCGCGCGGTGTGGCAGTGGTTGTGGCAGTGGTTTTTAAACAACAGGTCACATTGGTGTCCTATGAGTGTGCCGAGGACTAAAAGTTTCATGGGGTAAACAATCTGGTGGATATAATACCTGCAAGCTTGGGATGTGACCGAGGTCTCTCTTCATAGCGTATGCATCCTCCCCATCAGCATAGTACTTGGGCTCAATTTCGCTGATTCTGAAAATTTGGTGCCAAAAGTGTCAACAGCCGTCAGCATTTTGTAGTAATTCATTTTGTGAAGCATTTTATTATATTTAATTCACATTAACTCTTTCGCTATGGCGAGCCGCTGACATCGGCGCACAAAAACTGTACATGTCGTACGGCAAGCCGCTGGCAGTGGCTCGGTGACGTCGCTGTAAATAAACAGGGTATCCCCATGATGTGTGCCTTATTGACATTTATATCGTATAACCTCTGACCCTAGTTTGAGCCGCTGCCAACAGCTCTCCGTCTGGCCGGGGTCTGCTGCAGGTTATTTTGAGCAGGTTGTTTACAGAGAGACATTTAAAGATGGTGGCGTCCACATCGACACACGGCGGAATTTCCAGCGATTTATAACGTACAAAGTCGGAAATTAAATTCAGTAGCGAAAGAGTTAAACCTCCAAAATCAACCAGGCATTTTTGAAACTTTTGGGGGAAGCTGTATGCCTGTTAACCAGTTCGCACCAGAGGACATGTATACCCGCAAAAGTTTTCTGAAAGTCAGATCAGATGACTGATTAACCCGCAACGAGTGTGGCTGCAAATATCAGGGTGTGCTAACCGCAGAGGGCGGCCTCGACCCATCTAGCATCGAGCTTCATGAAAAACAAATCCTGTTTCTGGTTCTGATCATGCCAAAATAATCCCAGCGCGAACTGGTTAAGTGCCTGTTGATTTTAGAGGATGTTTTGTGTCAAATTGTTCGGCTATAACTTGTGTTGTTTACAATCTACACAAATGTAGGCATAGCTTATACTGGGCATCATCATTACTGCTTCTGGACATCATTGGCACTGCCTCATAGTTGATTATTAAGGGAATAAATGTGTGCTCCGGAGGTTTTTATCACTCTGTTTAAGACCGCTTAGAGTCTGGGTGCTGATAATTACCCGAGCCGGAGGCGAGGGTAATTATCAGCACCCAGACTCTAAGCGGTCTTAAACAGAGTGATAAATACCGACCGAGCCCATATTTATTCCCATTCATAAATACCTTTTCGGTAAAAAAAATCATATAATTCGTTCAAAAAATCCCGATTTTGTTCAACAAGTTAACTTCATGCTTTTTGAAACATTCCTCTAGCAAAATAATGGAGTGTTCAGCTGGCGAGTAAGATGTAAACAACCCTTTTATGGAGATTGACGCGCGCGTAGCATGTTCTGCGCGATGTCGCGCAGAACGCACCTGGGGCGTTGCGTTTTGAACTTAGAACTATAAAATTCTGACTCGCTGGTAGTGTTGCGCATGCCTACGTGAGGATTGTGAACGTTCAACCAATGAAACGGTAAGAGGCACTGGATTTTTAGGAGTCCACATTTTATTGTGACACTGGAAAAGTGTTTAAGACCAGCTAGCCATGTCTTTATCATCCGTTTAAGACCGGCCACATGACAGGCTCTCGACCAATAGGAATAGCTAAACTGCCTGAGGTATTTATGAATGGAGGATTTTGAAGGATTGATGAGGCAGTGGTCTCCCCTACACTGAACAAGTTCCAGAAATAACAGATTATTTTTGGAGGATCGAGGCTGTATCAAATTTTACACAGAAGCAGTTGGAGGATTTAAAGGAATGACGATGCATCCTAGCAAAAAAACCTTTGGGGTAAGTTTATTAAGTGAGGGAATTTCAAGGCACTGCTACATCAACAAGAACTCTGGCTACACTGAAAAATCATGTGAATTACAGGAAAAAGACAGTTTTATACTTACGAGAATTTAAGCGTAGTCTGGTACAACTGCAGTGCAGCTCGGTTGCTGAAAACAAAAGAGAAACAGATAATTCAATAACCCTCTCATGTCTGTCAAAATCCATCAAGTTTAGAGGATTCTGAAGAAGTTCTATTCTATTCTTTTACATGGGGCTTGTTGCCGCTCAAAGTTACTCCTGGACAGTAGTGGATTTTGGAGGAATTAGGATGATTCCAGAAAATCCCAGAGTAATGGCTGAAGTTTAGTTCTAGTTATTGTTCTGAATAATCATCATGGGAGAAATTGTAGGTTTTTGGGAAAGGGGGGGGGGGGGGGGATCTTCCCAGACACAAGACCAAGGCCTCTCAAAGGTGTTGACTACAAACAAGAAAAAACAGAGAAAGAAAGCATTCATTGTGATGGAAGGTATTGACTCACATTTGGTTTGGATTGTGAAACATTGAATGTAGGGAGGAAGCAGGAGTCAAGTAGAGACTTTACTCAAAGAGAGGCAGTGCGAGCCCAAAAAAAAAAACCACCAAAAAAACAAACAAACAAACAAGAGGAATATTTTACAGTACTAGCCTTAGGAACTATGACAGCCAAAGGACGGTGTTGTCAGATGATATTCCGAGTGCTTTTTTCCAACTTTCACTCGGGAGGTAACACACTGAGTATACAGTGTTTAGACGTCGGTGAAGGGCAAAACCTAATTTGATTTATATCACCCAGACGCAAAATTCCATCTTATGCGGTACCCGCTGCTATGTACATCAGATTCGAACCAGCCAACCGATCCCGTTAGCTCGGTGGTCGAGTGGTAAGACATCTGCACTAGAAAGCAGGAGGTCGTGGGTTCGAGTCCCACCCGAGTGCTTTTTTCCAACTTTCACTCGGGAGGAAACACACTGAGTATACAGTGTTTAAACGTCGGTGAAGGGCAAAACCTAATTTGATTTGACAGATGATATCAGCTATTGTTGGAAATAGCTTATTTAATTCCGACAATAGCTGGCACTATGCATCCGCCATTACTGGGCCACTACTGACTGTGAAGTGATCGGATTGATCTCAATAAGTACACTGACCTCATCCGGACGTGGAGGGACACATATTTAGCATTGAAGCATTCCACCATGGCGCGTGAGGCTTGATCCATTAATTTCTGGGCGAGGCCGAGACGTCGATGTGATCGCTTCACTGCCTACAGAATTATAACAAAATGACAACCACAGGGTTAAATTAGAATATGTTAAATTCTGATCTTCATCATTACCCTAACAGATTGGCTTTATCTTGACTTTGGCATGAAGTACATGTATGAATCTGACCTTAACCCTAACAATCCCCATCCAGTCAAACTCCAACACCAGGGTTTGTTGGAATCTGTTGGAGTGAGTACTGCACTAGTAAACTGATCATGCTTTAAATGGAGTCAGGCATACCACCATTATTTGAGTCCAACAGTTTGGGTGTAGAGTTTGCCATATGGTGTTGGAATTTTTCAAGAGTGAGGAAGGTTCCTAGTAAATCACTCAAAGGGGTCAGGCTTAATAATGCTCACCAATGACGTAATGTGACCATGAGGCAACTCATCTGGGTCTTCTTCCCTGCGAGAAAAAAAATATCAAGACCAAAATGTTCCATTCAAAGTGAAAGACAAGACTGTGTTTTACATGTAATTACTTGGCAAAGGGTTGATACATTGTAATATTACACATGTCTATGGGATGAGGATTCTGATGTTTACATCTAGTGTTATTGTTATCCACAAGAAACTGACTCGACTTGAACACTGTCGTCAGCTTGATCCATGGCATGGTAAAGATTTGCCAATCAGTATTCTTTATTGTAAAGACGGCAACAGAATTCAAGAGAGCATTAGGCCAAAAAAAATAATAGTTCTGCTTCCAGTTTCCCTACCTACATGTACCCTATTCTGACAGCCCCTACCCTAATTTGGAAAGATTTCCATATACATGTACGAAGTTCACTCAACACCCTGTGTACAAACCCTATGAGATTGGACTCATAGGTTTTTCTAAGAAAATGCTTGTATTTTCTCACTGCTCAAATTGACTTTGATGACATGAAATTGCTATCCGGGGGCTTGTTAATCAATACAGAGGAAAATTAGTGAACTTCTTATATGGAAATCTTTCCCCTAATTTTTTTATTGGAAAAATGAGAAAAAAAAACACCTAAAACCATCACTTTACACCTTTTACCCTTGACTACACGCAGATGCCTCCATATGGTTGTACACAAACAAATTGGCAAAAAAAAAAAAAAATCCCCTACCTACCTACCCTATTTTCGAATGCCATGTTATCGGAAGCAGAACTAATTTTTTTTGGCCTTACCATCGACATTATCCACATGTACTTACATCTTAGCAAGGACATATCCAACAATCTTGCCATTCTCATCCTCAGCAACATAAGATAACTGAGGCCAGGACAGGCCATGGTAGAAGTAATATTTCATCTGATAGTTCTCGGGAAGACACAGCAGATTACAGTGCTGCATGTTCAGCAGGTCCTCGGGCTGACAATGAAAAAAACCAATCCTGTTATTTTAACACAGAGCTGTGATGTGCGCGATGTCAACATAGAAACTGTGATGTATTTCGTCTATCAAAGGGCATGTCCAAAAGCCATAGAGTGCTGACCCCCAAATTTGAAGGCTCTCAGAAGGCTGACGGAGAGAAGCCTTCTGATTTCAGAAGTAAGTGGCAAGTACATAAAAAAACCTTGCTCTCGCGTTGCCCTGCATTTCTATAGTTACTCCTAGCTGGAGTTACCCAGCCCTAAATTTTATCATTCGGTTGTCATCTAGGGCTGGAGATAATTTTTCACGTAACCCAGCAGCGTAGGCAGGTCCCAAAAAAAATTGCGATATATGAGGTTTACCACTCGCATCACAGCTGCGGTACTGGAACCGCAACCGATAGTGCATAAAACAGTCATCGGGTGTTGCGCTTCCGCGTGACGTCATGCGCCAACAGCCAGCGCAGCCAGCAAAAACGACTAGTATCAGCGCGCTGTGCATGGTAATCGGCCGCCATTCATTGTACACAATTTTGTTTGTGCACAAACCAATTGCGGTCCTGGCCATGCCTGCAAGGTTGTCAGGTTAGCGGTTATTCCTCCTTTTTTTCACTGCAATTGTAGGCTGAATCTTCATCGTGGATCGTTTTTTACTTCAAGGACCTGTGTAATGGTTATTCCAGGCAAGTTTGGGGTGAGTTACAGTTGCAATTAGTGTGTAACGGGGACAAAATTGAACATTTTTTTTGGGACCTGCCTACGCTGCTGGGTTACGTGAAAAATTATCTCCAGCCCTAGATGACAACCCAATGATAAAATTTAGGGCTGGGTAACTCCAGCTAAGTTACTCCCATGGAAGTGTGGCCTATAAAGTACGGAGGTAGTCCAGTACATTGGCCACATTTATGGGGCTACGTGTGTCCTATCCAGTCTTACTAATGGAGATCAATGGTCATCTTTAACTCAAATTTTAAACGCAGTGGCTATCGTTACGGCAGCCGTAACGCATTTCCCATTTTCTATCGTTACGGTAGACTGCAACTTTTATAAAAACATGAGAAGAAAATACAAAATTAGAAGGAAAAAAGTGAATCTGAACGTTATGAAATTCGGACTTTATTTCCCTTTTAAAAAAAATCCTCCAAAGCCTCAGGTTTGAAAAGGAAAACAATTCGAGTGCAAAACTGAGATGCGAACCCGCAACCTCGCGGTGCAAAATCCTACCCTCTATCGACTGAGCTGTCGCACTGCTCGCTAAAACGTGAGGAAAAAAAGGAGCAACTATAGAATGCAGGGCCACGCCGGAGCAAGGTTTTTTATTCTGCTTGGAGGCGTGGATCGAGGTCGGCGATGTGAGGATTGGAGTAATAGGTTGACAATATAATAATATGCAAACCTGCAAAAAGTGCTAAGTACAGCGAATGCACTTGTCTTCTATTCTTCTCATGAAGGATCGGAAGGGAGGGCGCGCTTGTAAATGTGTCGGGGCGCGGAGGCGAAGAGGCGCGGAGTCGTGGAGTCGCGGAGTCGCGGAGACACGGGGCACTGGAGTCGCGGAGGCGCGGAGTCGCAGAGACACGCGCTGATAGAGGGCGCAATTCTCGGCGGTATTTTTTTTGAGAACGAAGCATCCATATCCATTTTAAATGGGCTCGCAAAGGAAGGGAGGAGGGCGACGGGGCACTGGAGTCGCGGAGGCGCGGAGTCGTGGAGTCGCGGAGGCGCGGAGTCGTGGAGCCGCGGGGCACTGGAGTCGCGGAGGCGCGGAGTCGCAGAGACACGGGCAGATAGAGGGCGCAATTCTCGGCGGTATTTTTTTGAGAACGAAGCATCCATATCCATTTTAAATGGGCTCGCAAATTAGGAAGGGAGGAGGGCGACGGGGCACTGGAGTCGCGGAGGCGTGGAGTCATGGAGGCGCGGAGTCGTGGAGACGCGGGGCACTGGAGTCGCGGAGGCGCGGAGTCGCAGAGACGCGCACCGATAGAGGGCGCAATTCTCGGAGATATCGACTGCGGCTCCACGCCTCCACGATTTTCGGAGGTAGGTCGACTGCGGCTCCACAATCCCGGGACATACCGTTATTTCGTTTTACCGTTTTGGATTTCCTCAAAAACAAAAACAGTAAACGCACCGTTGACCGTTTTTTTTGTTTTACAGTTTTGTAAAACAGTCAAACGGTATTAGGTCACAAAAAACAGTGACGTTTTTGTTGTTTTTCTTGATTGTTGAAAGCGATAAACGGTTAGTTGCTTCATTTCAGAGTGTTGTTTTACAAGAACATGACAATGAAAAACGGTCAATAGTCCTGTCGACCATTTTTTGATTTAGGTTCGGCAATTAAGCAATGCACCTAGGAATGTTAATGCGTCCTCATGGGATCGAGTCATTGCCTGGGACCCAAATTACCCTCCTCACATTTCGTTCTCACGACATAGTTTTCGAACTGGCTATTGAAGAGCCGCGCCGAACTCCAATTTCCTTCAAATATCTGTAACTTCTTCAAACGTATTACCATCCTGTATCCATTGTAAAAAGTAATGTCCCCCCTTGAAGTTTTCCAGCGCCATTTTTGCTTGCAACTCTTAAACCCCACCAACTGAATCACGTGAGAAGGGGGTCAGGGTCACGCCAGGAATCACACCACGCATTATGCCGAGGTAACACTTTTTCATGTAAAGCATGGTCCCCCTCCAGCCCCCTTGCCCAGCACCACAAAATGCACCACAGACTGCTCACTATGACCATGATGACACTGAAATAAAAATAAAACAGTCTGTATTCAATACTGACCGTTTTGCTGTTTTTCAAAGTTATTTGTGTAAAACTGTAACACAAAAATCATTGATCGTTATGCTGTAATGAATTTTATTAAACTTATAAAACAGAGAAACCGTATTTATCTTAATAGGGCCCTACCGTGGCAGTTGGTATTTTGCGGAACTCGCAGAACGTGCAGAACTCTGCGGAACTCTGCAAAATTGTTAATAAAACACTAAATTAAGATGAAATACTGGCTTTCAAAGTACAGCAAGGGCCAAATCTCATTAAAAAGTCCCAAAATCGCCATAATCTGTCCTTAAATGAATTGAAAATAAAAGATTTCCCACCTGTTTGTGCCGTCGTATAATAATTGTGTGCAGTATTTGCAGAACAGTGCAGAACACATGCTGTACAGGGATACATGCCGTTTACAAACCAAGGGTGCAGCTTTGACTCAGTGCTCTGTGAAGCACGTGTTTTAAACAGTTGATAGGGGGATAATGTACCGCTGCAGAACGAATTCTGCCGAAGTAACATTATGGAATGATCGTAATGTTTTATTTGCAATGTCGACAAGTGTCTTATATCCTCCACATGTTCATGGGAAGGCCCTCTGTATTTAATAGTTCCATGTTTTACCCAGGCAACGCGATCAATGGGTGCGGGCCTCCAAGAGTTTCGCGTTTGACACAGGCAGAATCAAAATTAAAAATCATCACAATGTTTTAATTTTAATCTGGATAAGTGTATTATATTCTCAACAACTCCTCTGATTTTTTTCTTTCGGAAATTCACCCGGGAAGACCTTTTAAAATGAGAGTTCCGCGTTTTACCCACCTAGGTTTTTTGTGCAAATAGGCCCAATTGCACGGTATATGCAGTATACGCGATACTGGCTCCGATGCCGTAGGAGGGGGCATCTTTAGCGCTGCAGAACCAACATTAAAAATCGTCACAATGTTTTAATTTTAATCTGAATAAATGTATTATATTCTCAACAACTCCTCTGAATTTTTCTTTCAGAAATTCACCCGGGAAGACCTTTTAAAATGAGAGTTCCGCGTTTTACCCACCTCGGTTTTTTGTGCAAATAGGCCTATGCACGGTATGTGCAGTATACGCGTACTGGCTCCGATGCCGTAGGAGGGGGCATCTTTAGCGCTGCAGAACCAACATTACAAATCGTCACAATCTTTTAAATTTAATCTGGATGAATGTATTATATTCTCAACAACTCCTGTGATTTTTTTCTTTCGGAAATTCACCCGGGAAGACCTTTTAAAATGAGAGTTCCGCGTTTTACCCACCTAGGTTTTTTGTGTCCAAACAGGCCTATTGCACGGTATATGCAGTATACGCGTACTGGCTCCGATGCCGTAGGAGGGGGCATCTTTAGCGCTGCAGAACCAACATTAAAAATCGTCACAATCTTTTAATTTTAATCTGGATAAATGTATTATATTCTCAACAACTCCCCTGATTTTTTTCTTTCCGAAATTCACCCGGGAAGATCTTTTAAAATGAGAGTTCCGCGTTTTACCCACCTAGGTTTTTTGTGCAAATAGGCCTATGCACAGTATGTGCAGTATACGCGTACTGGCTCCGATGCCGTAGGAGGGGGTATCTTTAGCGCTGCAGAACCAACATTAAAAATCGTCACAATGTTTTAATTTTAATATGGATAAATGTATTATATTCTCAACAACTCCTGTGATTTTTTTCTTTCCGAAATTCACCCGGGAAGACCTTTTAAAATGAGAGTTCCGCGTTTTACCCACCTAGGATTTTTGTGCAAATAGGCCCAATTGCACGGTATATGCAGTATACGCGATACTGGCTCCGATGCCGTAGGAGGGGGCATCTTTAGCGCTGCAGAACCAACATTAAAAATCGTCACAATGTTTTAATTTTAATCTGAATAAATGTATTATATTCTCAACAACTCCTCTGAATTTGTTCTTTCAGAAATTCACCCGGGAAGACCTTTTAAAATGAGAGTTCCGCGTTTTACCCACCTAGGTTTTTTTGTCCAAGTAGGCCTATGCACGTTATGTGCAGTGTACACGTACTGGCTCCGGTGCCGTAGGAGGGGGCATGTTTATCGCTGCAGAACCAACATTAAAAATCGTCACAATCTTTTAATTTTAATCTGGATAAATGTATTATATTCTCAACAACTCCTGTGATTTTTTTCTTTCCGAAATTCACCCGGGAAGACCTTTGAAAATGAGAGTTC